TAGAATTCAATATGTTAATTAATATTCACATCGTTTAATTTTCTTGTTCTAAATCTAATATTAAGTCATAAAATGTTGTAATAAAAATTACTTAATTTTAAATTCTCTCTCTCTCTGTAAAGTTAAATAAAGTAATTGAATTTACTTTACTTAAGTAAATTTAGGAAAGTAAATATGCTGCATTTAGTTATCAACTCCCAAACCCTTTATACTCTCGTTAATTTATCTTTACGGTATCAAGGATAGAAAAGGACTCATTGTTGTGCTTTAATTAAATTTTGTCAGTAAATCAGTAGCGAATTGATTATCAGAATTGAATTATTTGCTTTGTTAGATACCGGATGGCTAGAAGGGCATTCGAGTTTTATTTATAAAAAGGCTTTGAGCTTTACAATATTGCGCTGCAAACAATGCTATTATTAATTAAAGTCATTTTAATTGTTCTTGTGTGGTTTGTCCTACAGTTTCATTCCATACGTTAATATTGTTGTTGTAAAGTTATGTAACCACTCAAGTAAATATAATGAAGTTAAAAATAATATCTTCCATAAGACGCCTACGAAATTACTTTCTAATCTCCATTGAAAGTGACAAGCCACAAATTTAACTTTGCAGGAATCACCAGAACCTCTCAAGATTCGCATGCATAAATCTAATGACATTAAGCAGACCGAATATTTAAAAGAATAAATTTTCATATTAAATTTGATGTAAATTTCTGGCGATGAATAAATTCAATGTGAAACCTCATATCACAATGTAAAGAAGTTTTATTTACATTCACTGAACAGCTTGACAAGAGTTAAAAATATTTTCTTCTCCAAAACGTGCAAAATTAAAGTGAATAACGAGTGCCACTTACACTTTGTGAATACGAAACGCTTGAAAAATATTAAAAATATAAGAAAATAATACGAAGGGCAAGAGAATTGATTTAATGGAGCCTAAGGAAATTCAAGTCAACAGAACTGATCGGGCTTACACGTACTTTGTGTATTTATGCAAATTTCCGAGTACTTTTACTGTGGATTATTCTAGAATGCAAATGTGCTGAAGGCACATACGTATGATGAGTGCTGAGTGTTGAATGGAATTGATTGGAAAATTCGGGTTCCAATAGAGGAGTGCCTTTCGATTTGATATTCAATGTTACAAATAAATGTATCAAAATGAAGCAATATGTTTTAAAATATTTAAAAAAACAAATTATTGAATGCCTTGAATGAAGAGGTATATCAGTGGCGCTGTTTTTATTAAGCAATGATATATTTTCTTTTATATATTAAGTTTTTATTTCATGATTTTGAAGAACATGTATGTGAATGATAATGTAAATTGTTTATGAAAAAATTAATATATAACATCTTTAAATATTCATTTTTATTGGTTTGTTTTGCTTATCAACGTGGAGTATTTGTTTAATAAAAAACTGAAGGTCTCTTCTGTCATCTGTCTTTCTTTTTATATTAAAAGTTATAAAACAATTTTTTTTATTTCTTTTTGAATTCGTCATTGTAAATCAGTAAATATCATGAAAAATAATTGAAATGTCAATCTTCCGATGTCAGAAGTCATTGTTAATTTATTTTTATTGAGTGCACACCAGATAAGTCAACAATTGTAAAGAGTAAAATATTAAAATTATGTTGTCAATTCAAGAACTTATGTTTTTCTGTTAAAATCAAACTACTTTACTTGAATTTACTTGAACTTTTCAAAACTTAAGTTATTATCTAAAGAAAGCATAAGCTCTTTAGGTGTCTATGTAGAGTTATGTATGGGTAGTAGTGTATTACTTAGGTTATTTGTGTGAACTTGAAGAAAGTTTTTATGGAAATTTTAATAAAGTTTTAAGAATATAGAATATTAGAAAAAAAAAATCTCATTTATCAGAAAGGTGATTACTAATCAATGACCGCAACTGTGAAAAACTGAGAGCTCTTAAATAAGTCGAATACTCATCATTTAACTGGGAAACCTTTTAAATTCCTAAGTATTTTCATCGTAATTTTTGAGAGATGATTGAGTGTTATATAACTAGTTGGACATATGAATAAAGACTGGAATTCTATAAACATGCTGTCAAGTATTGTGCCTATAGTGACTGCATATACACTTCTAGGAAAAACGTTTTACCATTTTAAGTGATATAAGTGATTCATAGAAGTAAATCAGTGGTATCTAGGTTATTATCTGTCTTTACAGGGCACTGGACAATAGAATGGCATGAAGCTATACTTGGTGTCTCCTGCAATGCGTGCCTACCAGCTCTTAAAGAAAGGACACCAGAACACCTGATGTGTCTGTGTCCGGGTTTGACCAGAACTAGGTTTAAGTTTCTGTGGGCCCCTTTCTTCAACACACTTGGCGATATCTCTAGCATTTGTATTGGCCAGATTCTTGCCTTTATAAATGCCTCTGGCTGGTTCTAGCTGGACCTTGTTTCTACTACCCACTATTACAAGGTTTTGTGGATTCAAAACGGCTTTTTTGATAATTGAGGAGAACTTGTTCCTCCCTGCACCACAACTACCTTACTAACTATAAGTAAAAACTGTGATAAACTGTGACAGAACATCATGCATCAAATTCTTTTTTTATGTTTTAATTGACCTTTAAATGATCTTTAGTAATGATTAATGATTTTAACACTGATATCAAAGAATCAATTTCTTCTTTAACAGAATGAATGATATATCAAAGTCAGAAGAAATACAGAGCAAAAAATTGTATAAAAAATAATTTTTATCTCAAAATTAAATAATTAAGTTCAAATATAACGAAAAAAAACTACTATTAGAAGGGGTTAGTAGAGTAGTAGTAGTATAGAAGTATAGAAGTGTACGCAGTATTGAATTACAACAACAAAATTTTAATTAATTTAGTTTTTTGGCTGACCAAAAAATTATTGATGATATTTTCAGCGTCTTAGAAATATTTGTTGGTTCTACAGATTTTTGAATAAGTTGATTAAGTTCCAAAACCAATAACAGAAACTTATATCTTATAAATGTAACTAATTATATCTTAAGAAGCCGTAACATGACAATTTTTAATTTTTAAAGAAATCTGCTTCCTTTGCTTGTGATAGTTGAAACTCGTAAATTTGCTGAGACCACTATTTGTTATCGATGCTCAGTACCCGTGGAGTTAAATCCAGTACTTACTTGAGTCTAGAGGTAATGTTCACAAATGTATTTGACTTGAGATGAGCATTGACTGCATGTATGAGTGATGCTAAGGTGTTTGACTCGCAATTTATGAAGTGGTTAGTTGTTAGTCTTTGCAGATTCAATTGAAGGAATGTGATGAATACACACCACACAGCAATTGTTTGAATGATTGAAGTTCGCAATATTACTTCATCTGCTTCCTTTGCTTGTGATAGTTGAAACTCGTAAATTTGCTGCGACCACTATTTGTTATCGATGCTCAGTACCCGTGAAGTTAAATCCACTATTTACTTGAGTCTAGAGATAATGTTCACAAATGTATTTGACTTGAGATGAGCATTGACTGCATGTATGAGTGATGCTAAGGTGTTTGACTCGCAATTTATGAAGTGGTTAGTTGTTAGTCTTTGCAGATTCAATTGAAGGAATGTGATGAATACACACCACACAGCAATTGTTTGAATGATTGAAGTTCGCAATATTACTTCTTATTGCGAACTTTAAGTTTAAATATTTAAAAAACATAATTTTGATTTTAGTTGAACCGTAGGAAGTGATGATAGTTTCCCAAGGATGTGAAATATTGTTTCATATTCTGAGATGAAAATCAAATGATTAAAGCACATAAATTTACGCTGATATTAGATTGTACAGAACTACAAATTTTCCAGTATTTTTCTGAGAAAAATCCAAATCCTCAAATGAAATTCATGGAAATCATGAAATCCATGATTTTTAGGAACAATTTGTGAAAAATGTGGTGTGGCTTGAATTACCACAGTTAGAAACTTTTAGTAAGAAGTATTCGTTTGTGGTTAATTAAATTTGGTAATCAAATTTATAATTGCTGCAATCGTAATTTACTTGTAAATCGGTAGTAGCGCCCCGTGCGCACGCAAATTTGGCAGACGTCGTAATTTGCTCATTAATGTAAGCCAGTTTTTCAGTTACGCACTCGATAATGTGGAACGCGTGCTGTATTTGCAATTTGAATGGTTTGTGGTTAATTTTCTATTTTTGCTGTTGTTGTTGTTTTTGTCATGCCTTGCCTTTCCTATTATTTAATTTTATTTTTCCCAAATAAACAGACAAACAATCAAGAAGGCAAACAATGGAACACGAGTTAGAACCCAACAGCTGCTCTTGGTATCTGCATTCAGCATTCAGTAGATACCGCAGAAATTTGGCATTCGTGAGGGATCAAATGGTTAAGCCATATCAAGCGTTCGGAGGGAAATGCTAGAAGGCAGGCACGCAGATGGGAGACGACAGTAAGTGCTGCAAGCGATTCTTAATTGTACGAATAAATTCAGGCAAAGTTTAAAGTTCACAGGACGTAATTCGATGCGCTTTTTCCTTTCCCTCTGTTTTTTCTGCTTTTTGCTGTTTTTGGAAATGCGAATCTGCTGAGTTGGAAAATACCAATTTTCAGTTCTGTTTTCAGTGGCGTAATTTAAAGCGTAATTTATAAGATTCAATTTCCCAGAGCAAATGGTGCTGATGAAAATATTATTTGATATGGGAATTAGAGTTACTAATCAAAGCCCGAATTCAGCTTTCATGCACATAATTACAGTTACAAATTGATTATAGTGAATATGTTGTCCGGAAGTCCTTTAAAAATCTCTAAAAGTTATTTAATAAATGTTGAATATGAAAGTTTTGGTGTAGGAACGACGAAAACAGTTCAACCATTCCTAATTGGTAGTTACAATAATTTTTGGAATACTTTTTCTTTCACATTCATTTTCATAAATATTTTAATCATATTTAGTAATGGCTTTTAAAACAGATTTAATTATAATTTCGCTTTTAACTATTTTCCAGGTCGTTGGCGGTAACGGACATGAGTATCACTTCAAGCACAGGACTTTGCCACATGCTCGTTCAAGGAGGAGTATAGCACATACCAGAATTTTGAAAAGTCATCCATTGGTGAGTTGAAAATTGAAGCCAAGATGTGTATTGATATAAGAAACATCATCAGAAGTTCATAAAATTTTATATGGTGATCATGAGATTATGAGGATGATGAATTAAATACAATTTTTTTAAAAATTTATTTAATATTTTATTAACGAATTTAGAGGGGTTTTGAATAGCAAAGAAAGAAATAAAGGATAAACACAAAAATTTATTTTAATTTTATTGAAGTTTGGCTGACCATACAACGTTGTTTTGAGTATTGCCAAGTACTCTTCATCAGTGGTCTTTGGAATAATCGAATTTTTATTTAATTAGTTTATAGTCCTTATATATAGTCCGAATTTAGTAATAATAAATAATGATAATTCAATTAAAATAAAATAATATAGTAATTACTTGAAATAAATAGATATTTCACAGAAAAAAATACTGTGATATATAAACTAATTAATAAGAGAAAAATATTTTTTTAATAATTAAATATAAATTTGTTGTTTTTTGGTAAGAAATATATTTTGAATATAGAAGGGTAGTAATACAAAGGAAATGCTGGATCATACCAAAAAACTAAATATTTATAATTGTGACCTTCAGAAAAATCAATTGACTTATTTGTCGATACATAATTTCTAAACTATGTGGCAGAAAACTAAATTTATTTGGGGTTGAATACAACTTCACTAGTACCACTCTTTAATATTTAAACAAATTGGTTTTATGAAGACTAAGACAGTGGTTTCCAAGACCACTGATGATTTGGTAATACTTAATACAGCTGTATGGTGGGCTAAAAATTCAATTAATTAAAATAATATAAAATGAATTTTCGTTGTTGTAGTTTACTACTGTTCGAAAAAACCTCTTTATAAATTGGTTTTAGAATTTTTAATTGAATATTTAATATAATTAAGTATAAAAGTGATAAGTGATACTATTTTGTTTATTACTTTTCGCTACCATAAAATGTTTAATGCATTGATTTAGATAGGCAATCCATATTCTGGTTTTTGATAAATACATAGAGACAGAAAATAGAAGTATTTGATTTCAAAGAAGTTATATGCAGATATATGATAAATACATCTTCATGGAACCGATATAACTATATATTACTGCTTATTTCGATTCGCCAGTTATCTTATATTACATTCACACTAGAGTTTTGTTTGTAATTTTAACTGTCAAAAATTCTAAACCGACATCTGAAATTAAAAAGCAAAAAAATCGATTCACAAGACGATTCATTCTAATTTGATTGTCAGATTAATCATGTGTTCACACTTTCACAAAATATTTACTTTGCACATATGACATATATATTTATCCAGTATTTGAAGAATTTAATCTAAAATAGGCGAATTATTACACTTGAGCAGCTACTGTCATCACTTGTATAAATGTATCGGAAACCAATTAAATGTCATCATTTTTTTAAAATCTCTGTTTTACTTTTAGGAAATGATGTGACTTCATTTATATTAAGATAATAATCGATGTGATGAATCCGTTAGAAAAAGTTCATCAATTATTTAAATAATGTTTACAAATATAGTGCAAAAAATTAATTACTGAATGACAACATATATTCGGTGAATTTCTCAAGCTCAATTAATTTCATTCTATACTTGACAAAAGATTTTTAAAACTATTTAGTGAACTGATACATGCTACTGATATCTAGCATTTCAATAAATTTCGGTAAGATTAGATTACTTTAAATACTGACACAAAGAGGCATTCAAACAGTTTAGGAAACATAATATATATCTGTAGAGCAAAATATAAAATGAATCCGGGTACTCGGCTTCATACATATTTTTTTAATGTTTTGTACTTTCTGAGAAATGTAGATCCTCTACAATCTTTCTTATTCTCGCTCTTTTAGTAGCTTGCCAAATTTGGCTTAGGTACGTACAACTATTTCCATCTCCTTAAACGACACATTTTATACCGTATTGAGGCAGGTGGGCCTCGACGTAGGGTGTTTTTCGGGCTTTGTACTTTCTTACCCAGTTTATAGTTCATGATAAGATATTTAATTCAGCCATTATTTCTTTAGGACATTTATAAGCGTCATAATTGGTTTTGTGGGAAATCCCACAAAAATTAAATATAGTTTTGAATTGTTTGAATTGTTTATTTATAAGAAAGAAACATTTTTTAGTTTTAATTTTATAAAAACTTGTATTGAATAAAATATTGTTTCGACGATTTGCTCAGATTGTTGTTGCTAAAAACATCCAGTACCACAAAATTGTGGATATATACCTATAACATGTCACATAGCAAATCCATTCAAAACGAAGATGAGGTCAGATAAGAGATGTTGCGTGTATATAAGTGCGTGTAAATATAGGTAATACAAGTTATAAATATTATAATCCTAAATAACGTAGATACAGATGTATTGTATATGATGATATAATATTATATTTTCATTAAGTTGTTTATCTCTTATTGAACTTTCCCAACCGTAAAGGTCAAAGACAGGTCAAAGGATTTATTAACCCATATAAGACATACTATAATAGACTCTTTACTTTGAGCATAGGGGATATAAAAACTTTGACTGTATTTTTGACAGTGCGGTGAAGATTGAGGTGCCATGTTTTTGTGGTGGCGTTTTTGTGAAATAAATGGTAAAGCGTCTAAACATTGTGAATACAGCAGCAGACTTATTCATCTGGTAGGCTCATTCATTGGTTTTGATAACATATAAACCGACATAAAACCGTCAAAGGTGCTCAAGTTCATTAAAATCCTAATAATCGGTTGTAATAAATGGGGTTGATTCAGTTATACTATCCTATATAGCAACTGAATAGCGGTATATAGTATCTCTTCAACAGTAATATTAATAATTAGTTTTCTGTTGAATCGTTGTGTAAAAGCTTACTTCCGAGAAGGGTTAATAAATAATTTATGTATTTATGATTTCAATTTTTATTCAGTTGAATATTTTTATTGAAATAAACAATTTATTATTATTTGATCTATAAATGTTTTCTTAATAAAAAACTATGACATTCTGTGTTACTCATACCCAAAACTAATCCACCAACGTGCGATGCATTCACTGTTTCTTGTTGTTTTTGAACTGGTGGACTAAAGAGTACTTCCTCAAAAATAAAGAAAATCGGAACTATTTGCCTTTTCTTCTAATTTCGAATTCTATACTTCTTAGGGAAGACTTTACATGTATCGTATTAAACACCACAATTCAAAAAACTGACCGTTGGATAATATGTGTGATAGATTTCTTTATAAAATCGGCACTTATGTATGGAATAGTTATGCTATGTGCTAAAAATCGATAGATCGATTTTAGTTTGGATATGGTATCCACTTGTAATCCTTTTGCTTATGCGTTATTGTTATTTTGAGAAATTGTTGTAATTAAGTTAAAAAATTATTTCTATATTGAAACCAATTTTAGAACAATTAAATTTAGTGATGCAGTTTAGTTTACTATTGCAATATATTCATAAATCTATAAAGCCTCTATTTACATGTAAAAATTTTACGTGTCAAAAACATATAAAACGAACCCTAATATCTCTATATTTAGGAATGTGACACCTAGTTAACCTTGTGTGGTTGATTCTCTGCTACTTGAATGGAGAAGTCACTTTTATTCAAAAGAACTCTGTGCGTATAGTAGATGTATGGAACTTTTATAATTACGGTGATTTCTCAGGTCTTGCGTATTGGTGGAGGCTCATCCAAATATCTAATCCAATCTAACCACACATGGATTACGCACTTAATTGTTGTTTCGGAATATTAAAATTCTATGAAAAGACCTCAAAAGACGATGCAATTTTAAAGTATATTTTGAACACCGATAGAGTATTCCGATGAGTTACTTTTAGACAGAACTTAAGACTTGTTAAATTATTTTATATTTCTTGCATATAGAAAAACTTAATGAACAAAATGGAAATACAAGAAAAAAAAAAACAGGAAGAAAAATAAACCTATAAAATTCAAGTTTTTATGTGTTTGTCTAAGTTTTCGTACTGTACACGTACTGTACATGCTCGTACAAGTACTCTGTATGTTATTTGTACTGTACGGAATGGATTCATGAAATAGTTGTGAACTTTGGAAGAGTAAATATAATTGAAAATTGCTTTGCAATATGTCAATATTTATTGAGTTTTTTACATAAAATTGAAAGTTTAAGCAATTAAATCAAAATCGTTGAGGTTGCAATGGGTGATATTATTGGATGTCATATATGCTCTGTTGTGGGGTTTTCAATCATATTTTCATTTAAAATTTTTATGCTAATGTGTAGACAACCGCAAGCAATAAAATTTATTTGAAATTGAAATGCCAGCGGAAGCAAAACAGTAATATAATGACAGATTGCCAATTTCCCATGCCACAGTTTCACTTCGAATTTTGATAAGCTATTTTTAAACTGAGATTGAATGTACGCACGTTGCAATGTAAACAAACGAGTATCTGTGAGATATGTGGACTTCTATGCTCAAATTATATCTTAAGGCAATTATTTTTGTTTGCTTGTACGGGTGTGTGTATGGATTGGACATTTATAGAGTACGGTAATGTGGGTCCTTAAAACTCTTTTCATTACGTGTGACAACATTATGTCTTACTTCATCCTTTACTGCAATTACTAAATAATATTTTTTGCTTCATAAATAGAATTTTATTTTTAATTGGAGCTTAGGATTCTTATATGTGCTGTATATTTTTATATAGAAAATTGATAAATGGTTAATTGAAACTGAACAATTATTTTCTGAAATATTTAGAACATAATAAGATATGAATTGTTTACATAAAAATAGATTCTAAAATTAAAACAACTAAATAAAGCCAAACAGACAAATGGTGAAATAATTTCTTCGAATAATAAAATATGAATCGCTACTCTGTAGAAAAATTGATTTTCTTTTCCTTAAAAAGGAATACAATAGTAACGCTTATTTTGAAAATATATACACATATTTATTTGTTTATATATGTGACCACGTATGTGGGTTTGCTAACTTTTAATATCATCCATTGTCTGATCCCTGCTTTTGTTATGCGTCCTTTATGTTACAAAAGTTTAGAAGTATTGTGAAATTGATTTATTTGTGTGTGTGAAAGAAATTTGATTTAAAAAGTACGTTAACTTTTCTAGTGTACTTCTCTAGGTAAACTTTTTGAGTTGAAGTCTGAAACAAAATCGAATAAAAACATTTATTATTAAAATATTTAATATATAAAGAAAAATGTTTTTATAAAAAAAAAACAAAAAAGAAATGAAAACATTTATTGAAAAGATATTTGTGTACTCTTTAACTTTCTAAAATATTTAAAAATATTTTTCAAAATTTATTTTATATAAATAAAATTTTTTTACTATTATAATAAGCTACTCATAAATTATAATAATTATATTTTTTTTTATTAATTTTTTAGGTACATTTTGCTGTTCAACAACCAGGATTTAAGCGTGTAAAACGTGGATTACGTCCGGCTGTGCCAGCCATACATGGTTTAGATTTGGAAAAGACTTTTGGTGAGCAGTCTATTGAAGTTGGTGTGGAGCCCACAGATCCATACTTTCCATTACAATGGTATTTGAAAAATACTGGTCAAAATGGAGGTAAAGTTCGTTTAGATTTGAACGTACAGGCGGCATGGGATCAAGGCATAACTGGGAAGAATGTGACTACAGCAATAATGGATGATGGTACATTAAATTTTGTTAGTGCTTTGACTTAAATGTATATTGTACTATGTTGTTTTAGGTGTGGATTATATGCATCCGGATTTGAAATTTAATTATGTAAGTTGGGAACCAAGAGTTTTGATTACATTTGAATAGATTATTTTACAGTGGATGCTCACAAATTAGAATTCTTACAAATAAAATACTTTAATATTTGTTTTTAAGATATAAAAACGTTTCGACTATTAGAATTATCCGCAAACTAAAGTGATTTAAATTTGTGAGCATTTACCAATTATATTGTTATTTTTTTTTTGTTTAATAAATTTTTAAATAATGAAAATATAAGTAACAAAACATGAAGTTTGTTTATTATTAAGCTTTATATTTAAAGAAAGTAGTTTTGGGTCACCTAATTCTTAATTACACTCGGTAATATATCCAACATTGGTATGGGGCAGATACTTGACTTTGTCAATGCGTCCGGCTAGTTCTAATATGTCCAACTAGCCACAATATGAAGAATATGCGGATCACGCTCATTTGCATAAAGTCTGTATAATGTTGTATTGTTTTATACGTGATAAATAATCATAACAAAATTAAAGTCAAAAGTTTTTTAAACAATAATAGAATATTTCTCATGAAAATTTATATAAAGGGTAGGTGTTGAAGTGGGGTATTGATATACCTTTTTGGGGTATTTAAAAAAATGTGTAAGTTGCCCATGTTTGGACAAAGCTTTTGAGGGGTTCCGGCAGGCCAATTGAACTCAAAATACATCAAAAGAAAAACCACCTAAAAGATTATATTCTTATAATTTTATTTCAATATCTTCAGTGGTTCAGAAAACACCAAATTAATCGTCTAATTTTCATTGTGAGCGTTGCTTTTCTATCAGGATTCTTATTTTCGGATCATAAGGGAATGGTATGATGTTCTCGTGTTGCAATCTTTTGGACATTGGCGTCTTCTTCAGTACACCAATCATATCAGTTTTTATATATCTCTACTTAATGCAGTACTCCTTTTCCTCTGTGAACTTGGTGGCATTGGGTCGTCTATCCGGTGTTTCAATTCAAATATTTTTATTTGTACTTTTAATTGATGCGTTTGGTTTCCGATATATATTTATTAGTATTATATCGTAAAAATTAGTGCTGTAGAAAGGCTATATATATGTCATGCTAACAAATTAAAAAATTTTTTTTTTAGATTTGCTATAAGTAACAGTTTTGATGTAGTTAATTAAGATATTCATTTTTTTAAGTTTTTCAAGTTTGTGGTTGAATTCAAAAACTGAAAAAATTACTATCAAATAAAATATTGTCCTTACTTAATACTGTCTTTATTATAAATTAATTCTCTTGATGGTTTTGTTGGTATTTAAGTGGTATTCGGTTGAAATGATATTTCAAAGCAGTACTCTTCTTCATTCTTAATAGCTCTTGGAATGTACAATTCATTAATTATTGTCGCAGCATACGCTATTACTCGTAATTACTTCACATAATAGGCCCATTATTTAGTTCCTCAACAAGATAAATTACAATCTCTTTCAAAAGTTGAAAATAAGAAACATTGGAATGGAGTATTATAAATGTTCTTCAGCTTCAGCTTGTTTACTATTGCGTTTGACATTCAAACTTTATTACCCGTGCCCACATAGAAATTTTGATTTGCAGTATAATAAACATTGTCACTGTTCATGACAGCAAATTAATTAAATAACTTAAAAATTCTTTACACATTTTCAAAACATTTATCTTCATTCCATTGAAAATACCAAATCACTTTATTAAAATTTGCTGACAATGTTGTCAGATATTATTTCATCAAAGCTATTGACATCAATTACAAAAAATATTTGAAATTCCATAACGAAAATCTGAACTTGCTGGTATTTAAATTATTTTAAAAATTTCTGAAGAATTTTTTTATAAAAATAAACAATGCACTTTTTGTTTATAGTAAAAACACAGAATGTTTATTTTTTACCACAAAATTTAAATAAAAGATTGTTTCATTTTTGATATATCTAACATCTTCACAACGAAACCAAAGGAATTCTTTTTATTATCCGTTTTTGAAAAGGTTAAAATTATTTTATTATCTGTATCGCTAACTTTTAGGTTATATACCCTTTCACTTTTAACCCTTTAATAAAAAATTAATTAAAATATTTTAGCTAAAATGGTGAAATATAAAAATTCCATTATGTCGGTATCTTTCTCTCTCTCTCTCTTTCTAATTGCCTTTCCATCAATTTTGCTATAAAAATAATAAAAACCAACTTTAACTGAAATTGATGAACAATAACGTTGTAAAAAAAAATAATTATTAATAAAAAATGAAAAATTTTCCAAAAAAAGTCGGTAGAAAGTGTCAGATAAAAATGTTACCGCAACCAATGCCCCGATAAAAACGCAGAGCCAAACAACAACAACGTGGTTTCACAGCCCACAAATCAGTTCAATACGAAATTGTTGAACACGAGTTTTCCATTATAAGCCAACGAGCGGCCAAAATGGTTACAAGTGAAATTGTATCAGGAAGTCGTAACTTTTCTTATTTTATTCCATTTTCATGTTTGTTTGTATTTGCAGCTGGAAAACACTTAAAAGCTTTAATGTCAGCAAGAGCCGAAAAGTATGCCACAATTTACGTAAATTCAATAACAAATACCCTATTGATCCTTTTAGCAGGGTGAATACAATTCGGTTTGTTTGTCTGAATGAAAAGTAAATACCTGAAAGCATATAAAATATGCAAGTGATTCCATTTTGAATTATTTCGATGAATTAAATTTTCACTTGTATTTTATAGATTTTTTATAAACACCAACTACATGCTATTATTTATTAATGCAATCAAAACCTAATTCAATTCGGAAATGTTTAGTTTGTAAAATATGTGGTCAACTAAGACTTCATATTGAATGTAAATATTAAAATTTTAAATATTCGTTCTAATCAATAGATCCATTGCATTTGATATAACTTAACTTAAACTATAAGTACATGATCAATTCCTTTAACCCTTTGAAGATCATAAAACCATGCTAGAATATTGAATTTTCCCCTTAATTGTACTTGTCATAGCTGTAGAGATGATGAAGAAAGTGCCTCTAATCTTTTTTGTTTTTGCCCAACTCATGCACGTCGGCTACTTAATACTTAAGGGGCCTCCTTCTTTGAGGATATCGAACAACTACAAGACTTCTCACTAAATAGCATTTTAAGCTTCGCAGTTGATTTAAAATACTGAGCTTTTCCACTATACGGTAACACGATAGGATATTCTTCGGATCGCCGATATACCTTACCTTACTTAAGGAACATATGCTCCAAAAATATGCAGTTTCTTTCATCTCTTTTTATATTGGATAACATAATGTAAGAATAGGTCCTTCTTTTTTTTGTTGCTCTATATTTTCTAATCAAAGCATATTGATAAATTTTGTGAGATTGCTTGTTTTAGAACTAGTCCGATTATAGCCCGTTTGAAGATAGTAATTAGATAGGGTTCTTATGTCACAATATTGGAATAATTTAAAATTACTGGTCGTGTTTGGGTATCAAATGTTTAGAATTTAGCGAAGACATCTACCATGATTATAACATCGTGTTAAGAAAGATTGTTCATAAATCGTAAAATCTTTATTTATACTATTTCATCAGAAGTTTAGAAAGGTTAGGTTAGGTTAGGTTGGAGCGGAGACCATTTCAGAATGGTCAAGACTTTGCTCAAATGATATAAACACAGTATCAACCAGATCTCTTAATATTATCAATCTATGATTTTTTAAAACCAAATATTTGATTTCCTTCATGTTTTGTTCATTTGTTGATGTAAGCTATTAGATATTGAGGATCGTCGAGAGCATAATTGTCTTCAACGCCTTCTATGTTTCTCTTAACTGTTTATACTATTTTTAAACGTTTATTTTAACCTTAACTAAAAGTTGTAGATAAATTAAAAATATCGTACTTCTTTTTTCCCACACTTCCTCTATAACTCCTTGCCGACACTTTTAATGCTTTTATATAGCTACAAAGTACTGGTTAAATAGCACTAAATAATCTATTAATTACTATGGAAGCAAAGCAGGCAATTAAACACAATGAACTGATTGTGTATAGCATATAGGTATGATAATTAAAATATTAAATATTTTACGTCCATGTTTTTTTTTAGTACGTCCATGTTTTTTTAGTTTTTGGTGGTAGTATTTATTATATATTTAAGTTGGGCTGTCAAGCAACTGATATAAAATAGCGTATAAAAAAATTTTGTTGATACGATTTGGTTATCACTACCTGCTATAAATGATTATGGTTCATATACGAAATACTTTTATTAGAGAATTTTTAATAACTAGAGTATGGAGACTTTTTAAAACAATTTTTCTTTTAATTTCTTTATTAGGTCTATTTTTTCAATTTTTTTAAATTAAAAATTATTATGGTATTTTAATATGAAAGAAAAATTTTATATTTTCTGCGTATTTAATTTTTCAATGTAATTTCTATTTAAAGAATGCCGAGGCCAGCTATGACTTCAGCAGCAACGATCCATTCCCTTACCCACGATACACCGACGACTGGTTCAATAGGTAAGCCAACACTTGTAAAGAATGGCGTTAATCCTTCTCGTTCTTGAAATAATTCGCTGTTGAAAGGGTTTTCGTGTTTAAAAAGAAATTCCAAATCCCTTGCCAGTTATTTTGGTAGAATTCCTGTACTTCAAACTTTCTTTCTTTTCTCCTTTGTAGTCATGGAACGCGTTGTGCGGGTGAAGTAGCTGCGGCTAGAGATAATGGAATTTGTGGCGTTGGCGTTGCTTATGACAGCAAAGTTGCAGGTAATTTGAATTGAATGAAAATACATCAAATATTTTTATTTATTGGCTAAAAATTTTTTTTATTTATTTAAATGATGTGAAATATTTTTGTTTTGTTTTGAAAAGAGTCCAATGTAAAAATAAAATCAAAATTATTTCTTACATATTTTTTGCCGTATAACTTATATGAACATGTAGTCAAAATTCAGTATTTATTTTGAAGAAAATAGAAGAGATGAAAAAAAGAATATATTTTTAATATGAAGTCTTTTATGGTAATTAGATTTATAAAATCCATTTATGAGTCACCAAGAGAAAATCCTCGCATATGCAGTTTTGTGCTTAGTAAACTTTATCGTTAAGTGCCTTGCATTAAGGATTTTTTTATTAGCCACTCATGATTTGCCATAAATTAAAAATGATAAAATGCGATTTATAATTCGCTTAATAAAAAATTTTTTTTCTCATTCAATTTAATTTAATCTCCAATCTTTCTTGCTATGAACTAATATTGACACACATTTTAGGTATACGCATGTTGGACCAACCTTATATGACCGATTTAATTGAGGCCAATTCCATGGGTCATGAGCCACATAAAATCCATATTTACAGTGCTTCCTGGGGACCAACTGACGATGGTAAAACTGTAGATGGGCCACGAAATGCTACAATGCGAGCCATTGTTCAGGGTGTGAATGAGGTATGTGGAATATTAGTTGTGGATTATGCTGATTATTTTACTTAATTTTTTCTCTTTTCTTGTTTTAATACGAACCACCCGTAGGGACGTAATGGTTTAGGCAACATTTATGTATGGGCAAGTGGTAAGTGCAAAGTGTGAAATAGATAAGCTTTCTGATGTTGAATAAGAAAAATCATATGAAAATTTTTCTACATAAGGTGACGGCGGTGAGGAGGATGATTGCAATTGTGATGGTTATGCAGCTTCCATGTGGACAATTTCTATTAACAGCGCCATAAATGATGGACAGAACGCACATTATGATGAAAGTTGTAGTTCAACATTAGCAAGTACGTTCAGCAATGGTGCAAAGGATCCCAATACTGGTGTGGCGACAACAGATTTGTATGGTAAATGTACAACCACTCATTCTGGTACGAGTGCGGCGGCACCAGAAGCAGCAGGCGTCTTTGCTTTAGCTTTGGAAGCAAAGTGAGTAAAACTAAAATATTTTACTACTAAAATGTAAATATAAATTTTACTAAGTATTTAATACTTTATTATATATTTATTTAACTTATAATTTGAATGATAATTAATTGATATTATACTAAGCTAGAGTTATCAAGCAATTTAGGTATACAATGATCTGTTTACAGACTTACATACCATGTAGTAAAAATAAGCCATTAAAATGTTTTACATATATATGCGAAAATTCGATCATATATAATATATATTTACTGGAGTTTATACGATATATAATATATCTCACATTTCACAAAATGTCGGCATTTCTGAATATGAAACAACTACTTAGTTTCATATATCTTAATAAATACTGTTTATTGTTCTTTAAATTTTACATCCATAATATTTTTATTATTAATTTTTACTAATAATATTATTTATGAAATATCTTCTTTGTGCAGTTCCCAATTAACATGGCGCGATATTCAACACTTGACAGTTCTGACATCAAAACGAAATTCATTGTTTGATGCCAAAAATCGGTTCCACTGGACAATGAATGGTGTTGGCTTAGAGTTCAATCATCTTTTTGGTTTCGGTGTATTGGATGCTGGTGCTATGGTAACCTTAGCTAAGCAATGGCATACAGTACCTGCACGTTATCATTGTGAAGCTGGTGAAATATCTGATCCACGGTATGTATATATTTCAAATTAAAAAAAAAATATATATATCTAATATACCCGGCTCTCTTCTGCAGTGCCATTTTGTCAGGACGTTCATTATTTTTAGAAATTAAAACTGATGCGTGCAAAGGTACAGAAACTGAGGTCAACTATTTGGAACATGTACAAGCAGTGATAACAGCAAACGCATCTAGACGTGGTGATTTAGAATTATTCTTAACCTCTCCCATGGGTACCAGGTACATACTCATTTCCTCTGTTGCAAATACTTACAAACAAAATTAATTGTTTTTTTCAATCAGATCAATGATACTATCACGTCGTGCTAATGATGATGATCATCGTGATGGCTTTACAAAGTGGCCGTTTATGACAACACACTCCTGGGGAGAATATCCACATGGAACTTGGAAGCTTGAAGTAAATATTATATAGTTTTGTTACGTGTTATGTATATCTCAAAATTAATTCAATATTTTTTTTTTTCAGGCACGTTTTAATTCACCGCAACCTCGTTCTGGCTGGCTTATTGAATGGTCACTTGTACTTCACGGCACCAAAGAAGCTCCATATCGCACTCTCTCACCTTCTTCTCCACATTCAAAGTTGGCGATTGTAAAAAAGGCACATGAGGACAAAAAAATGAAGTAAAATGCAAAAATCAATCCAACTCCATCCTATAAAAAAATGTATATCAAAATTGACATCGGCTGTAGAGACTGGAATATGCGTTGAGAACAAGAAGTGCCACTGGACGAAGTAGAAAGTGAATTTCAACTGAGATTTTTAAGATTTTTGGTTTTATTTATTATTTTAAGATATTGGTTAGTTGAGTTACCTTTACAGCTCAAAGTACAAAATTATTTAAAAAAATATATTATATTGAGTTAGAATTGTTTTTTTTCATTGAGTTTACTAAATAATGTATTTTTTTATTTAGACGTATTTGATTTCGAATTTTGTAATTAAAATTAAATTTAATTTAAAATTAAATAAAATTCAACTAAATTAATTTAAATTAAACCAGATTAAATTAAATTATATTAAATTAAATTAAATTAAATTAAATTAAATTAAATTGAATTAATAAACTAAATTAAATAAATTTTATTTTCTTATTTAGGAGTTGTGGTTTTGAGTTTTATAATTAAAATTAAATTACGTATAAAACTAAACTAAGTTAATTAAATGTTTTTATTTAATAATGAACTTAATTTAGTTTTAATTATTTTAGTTTTTAATTGGTAAGAAATTATTAACATTTTTATTACCAAATATTTTTTTTTTTAATTTTCTCTATAAATACCAATTAGTTTTTATTATTTTTGAATTATATTTTATTTTATTTATGTATATAAGAATTTATAAACAAAAAATTATATGAAGAAATTTTTTTATATCAAAACGCTGTTTTTTTTTTCAAATCTTACCGGTTTTAATAAAAATTATAGTGGAAACAGATTACACCAATAAAAAAATTTGCATTTTTAAGCAAAATATATTTAAAGTTTTAAAAGTGTTTTTAAAACAAATTCGAAAATTGATCAACTTTTAAAAATAATTTTTTTTATAACAATTATTATTTACTTTTATTATAAAAAAATTTTATTTTTGATGAGTACATAACATATGTAAATATTTTATTTACTAAAGTTATATACAAAAATGATTATTTTAATTCGTAATCATGAATAACTTATCCAGCTCTGTAAAATATTTACATATGTTCATAATTATATACCTACCATGTTTTAAATAATATTGATGCATTCATATATATATATATACATACATATATGTACATATAAAGATATGCAATATGTGATTGAATCTATAATTATTTTATTATTATATGTTGTTAACAAGCTCTTATTTAAGCTGCATATTATTATCTGTAAACTATCTTCATCAACTAGATTAAAATATACTTTTATTAAGCACTAAAAGTATATTAAACTAATGTTTATTTATAATCTGAGTCATATAGTAGAGAAAGCTGATTCCTTAGCATACATACCTACTTAAATATAATTATATAAAAAATAAGTTAAGAAAATTAAATTAATTATAAAATGTACACTAAATGGGATTGTGTAACCTAAATACATAAAAGCAAAAAAAAATTAATAAAAGAGATTATCACATATAAAATATGAAAATACACAAAATATTTAATATAAAATAAGTGTGAATTCAACATAAAATGTTAGAAAATATATTAAACTTTAATAACTTTAAAATATATTTATATGTTAAAAATTAAATTTATTTTTACAAAATAAGTTAAATAAGTTGTAAATGTGTACTTTCAAATTTAAACTAATTTTTAAATCTAATTTAGATATTTATTTTGGTAATTTTTTTCAAAAATTAGTTATTCTTGTTTCTTTCGGGGGCCAAACATTAATAATAAAAAAAAACACCTAAATAAAGATTTTTAATAACAATAAAATAAATAGTCAAATAAATGAGTACAGCAAATAAGTATATAATTTAAAGTACAAGTTCAATATAACACACAAATAAATATATTTATTTAGTCTTTGTTTTATATATATATATATTATTGTTAAAGTTTATGGATGGTGATGAAATTAATTAAATATATTTATGAGAAAAGAATAATTAAAGGTATTGTAAAAATAAAACAAAGTCACACAAAATAAACATACAGACACTATTAAAAAGTAAATATGAATATAATATAATAATCAAATGCATATACATATATATACATATATATATATATATACTATAAGAAGTGTGAAAATATAAAATATATACAAGTAACTATATAAACATATATATTATCTTTGGTGTTGTAGATACATTAGATACATAAATATATATTTGCAAGCATAGAAATTATTTTCTTTTATTTTTTTTAATTCCATCACAAAAAATAATTATACATTTTTATTGAAGTTTTGTTAAATTCTGTATTTAGTTTTGTAAATAAATTTTAAAAACAAAACAATCAATATTTTCTCAATTAATACTATATAAAAAATAAGAGTATCTCTTTATTTATCTTGAAAATCACGAAGAAGCTAAGACTCTTAAAGTATGTCGCTATTTCATTATATTTCGACCGACTTTATTATTATTGGTTTTTTATGAACTATTCTGATTGTTCTTTTTTGATAAGTACTATTACTTCCAGATCATCCAATTTTTAAATTTTTATTTGATTTATAATTCTAGTGAATTTTGTTTATATTCATATGTTATGATTTTGAATTAGTGTCAGTACAATGTAACCCAGACATTTTTTACACATGTCAATATAATTATGTCTATTGAACATATATATTTCAAGTTGTCTGTGATGCAAATAAACAATATCAGTAGAAGTTTTTGCCTGGGTTTGTAATAGGAATAGTTTTTTACAAAAAATATATTAACTTTTTTCACCGCTTTGCTACCACATTCCTCGCAAGAACCCCAGCATAGAAGAGTAAAGATTAAATCTATCCCGCCGAATTTAGGTAATTTAATAGGTCTTTCGTCGTCACCGATAAACAGTCTGATAAAGTATCAATTTTTAATTTAAAGCACGGCAAGTGCTTTAGTTAGTGACACTTAAAAAAAAAATAAAAAAGTGACAAAAAGCTTGTAATTTGCGCATGGAAAGTTTGTGCAGCCCTAGGTACTTGTGGAGATATAGGATAAATTATCCCTTCTAAATTATATACAGGCTATGAACTCCTTAAAAAATTGGAATATTTCCTAAGACCACTGATGATTAGTACTTGGCTGAGTGTTGATGAGTGGTCGAAACAGCATTTTATGGTCAGCAAAATTTCAATAAATTAACTAAAACTTTTGCTGTTGTCTTTTCATTTCTATTCGAACCTTTCTAACTTTTAAAAATTCTTTTATATTCGAATAAATATTATTTCTAAATATTAACTATACCATAATTTTTTTGAGTATTTAATGTACAGTCATTAGCAATTTCCGCCGCGCAAAACTGTTAGAAATCGATGAAGAAAATGCTTTCATTATAGAAAAAGTCATTAACCTAAGTATATATCATTGAGTGGGAAAAACTTTGAAGGCGATAAATTAGATATAGAAGAAAAATTGAAGGTTTCAAAACAGATTTATTTTGTAATAATTATAAAAGCACATTCAATTACTGAATGTAGTTGTTATCTGCATAAAGCATAATACTGGTGTTCTCATTATTACCTTAACCTTAAAGAATTTGAATAGTTAAAACATTAAAAGTTTACACTTCTATGGGTCTTCACCAAAGTTACTTGTACCATAAACTTCAATAAATTTATATTAAAGGAAGATGGGAACTAGATCTCTCTTAAGTTAATACAGAATATTCTAGATTGAAAATAAGCGAAATCAAATGCTTGATATAATACAGAGTGACATAGTTGAAAAACAAATGAAGAACTGTCATAGCTAAGAAACTGACTTCACATCCATTCTGTGGCAGAAAACAAATAATAGTAATTTTTTTGAAACCCCACTTTAATGTTTAATTTTAAATTGTTTTTGAAACAAAATCTTTTTCATAATCGTTCGGCATTTCTATTTCAAGTAAGTCTTCCATTTATTCATATCCTGCAGATTGTAACAATAGACATTTTAAATGATATATGAGAATATTTGTAGCACTATATTATCTTGAAATTAAAATTAAGAGATCTATATTTGGATGTGTTTAGATCCTTTTTAAATAAACGGTTGGAATAAATAGTTAATATCTGGTACTGTGATGTCAAGAAGTTTATATCTAAGGATACTGTTGTAGGTTTCATCTACGTTCTGGATAGGACTAAGTATTTAAAATATTTTTCAAAGTTCTTTGTGGTGTGTATATTAAATATTTAGCAATTTCTGTTTTTAACTGAACATATCTTTTAAGCATTCATATTTAGAAGTATTAAATAATAATAAAATTAAAAATTTCTTAACATTATCTTCCAATAAGAACACAAAAGCTTTCAGCTGTCAGTTTACATTTTCTGTGCTGAGAGCTTTAGCTTATTAAGCTAAAATTTAAAATTTGTGGATACCAAATTGTTGCATTTGTCCTTGCTAAATTGTAAAGGATATAACGAAATTTGGAAACATCCTATAACATCCTTAACTTAAAAAGCTTTTATAGCTTTAAAAGCTTTAACAGCATTACTTTGTTAAAGCTTAAAACTTTAATCAAGTTTAAAATTAATTCGAAGCAATCTTAATAGCGCTTTTCTTTGAGATGTGAATAAACAACAAAGCTTTGGGGCCTACTATGTGTTTACGATACCGATATGTTAATATTTTACTGATATATAGACAAGAAACTGAGTAACTTAAAGCATTTTCAAATTGGCAATGGCAACCTTAGATAACTGAAATTATAATGCTATAACATTTTAGTAGCTTAATGACTAAATAATGTCTACATAAGGTCTAAATAACGAAATTATCGGTATTTTTTATTGTAATATGTATTGTTCCACAATCGGAAGCATTAATGGGAATAGGCAGGGATATAACAAGTATAAACTAAAATTGAAAGATGATGACTGTAACATCGTCTATTAAGCTATTATTTTAAATTGTAAATCAAGTTCTGGAAATATAAATGTTTTCTGTAAAATATTTTTATAAGTCTAGATATTAATAATTGTACAAAAAGATTTGAAAATGTTCAAAACACATTGAAAGTATTGATTAACTGCATTGCTTATTTCAAAACAGTATCTACTAGGGCTATTCTAAGAAAACATTTTTAGTATAAAAAGTATCTTATACGCTACACACTACTAAACATTTTACCCCAAAAAGCTTGCAGGCTGCAGCAATGCATATATTGCTTCAAAACGGCCTTAATGCCAACAGAAGTAAGTTTATATGTAGTTAGAAATACTATATCTCATC